AACGCGCTAGGTCGGCTGTACGCGTATCAACAAACTCGCGTCCAAACTCGCCTCCCGAAGTAACCCTCGCCTTCTGAGACAAATTTTTGGAGTAAATACACCTCGCCTTCCGAAAACCTCGCATACAGGGACAATCGCATTCCGAGGTACCACTGTACATCCTTTTTGCAGAGTCAGTACACAGAGTGGTCACTGGGACCATTTCTCCTTGAATTATTAGTCATGTTGGCACATTTTTTGTTTATGGCTGCTGAACAGAGTTGGCATTGAAAGCTCTGTTGGTAATCTACCTTCATGTTGCATTCTATGCACGTTTTTATCAAAGACATTTTTGTTGAACACTTCTGTTCAGTGGTGGTGATCTTACAAGGTGGGGTGTTGACTGTTGGGGGTATGACTGTGGGTGTTTATCAACTTGAGATAGGCCTGGAGGGGCAGTATGGACGGGCAGTGTTGCTACCACGTGTTGCACTCTTAATTTGTTTTGTTCACTTGTTAGGTTCACTTGTTGGTATCAAGCAGGTAAACTTACATTTTTGGCATAAAGTGAGTAATATTTAGCTTACAACAGGAAAAGTGATATACAGGTACAGTACTTTATTGGGAAAACAAAATTTAGTTTACCATTCGAATGGTGAGATAGATATTGTCACAATTTATATAATTGTCATATAAATTTCAGAGTTTTATAAAAAAATTATATAAATTTTCAGAACCCCTCTTCCCCCCCCCCCCGACTCTGGGGGGATTTTGGAGTTGAGGCAGAGTTTAGCTTGGGATTTGGTGGCTCCGGGGGCCTCTTCACCCCTGCGCTTCCTCATGATGTTGGTCTGGTGCAGTTGCATGTTCAAGTCCTCCTCCCTTTAGGCTGCCTTAGTAGCTGATGACTTTCAGAGTCGTTGTTACTTGGCATCTGACTTGCGATTCTTTGGTCTTCTGGAGCTGTCTTCGGTTTGGCTGTCGGAAGATCCGGGGTTGCAGGTGGAGGGCCTTCGGCTGGGGTCTTTGTGTCGGCTGCTTCACCATCGTCTGCCTTGCTGAAGCTGTTTATGCCGATCCTCTGAAGGCGGTTATATGTTTTTCACCTTCCATCTCACATGTCTACAGGCTCTGCTGGCTCTCTCTTGGATTCAGCTTGGGCCCCTGGCTCTTCGCTTTGCTGTTTTGTCCTCTGCTGTTTACAGAGGACAGTGTCAGTCAGTTTGTTGGCGGCTTTTGCTAGTTGCTGTCCTATTTCGGACTTGTGTGTCCGGGGGGTCAGTCTAGGGCTCAGGCTGCTTTGTCAGGGTAGGCCTGTGGTGCTATCAGCCTGGACTTTAACCCTCAAACCACGCATATCATATATAAATGATATCAGTGACAAAACCGAAACCGCCCACATCATTTATATATGATTTCGTGTCTAGCGCTATAATTTAAACGCCCCGCCTGGGATAGGGGCAGCTATAGTACAGCCACGACCGATAGTTGCCAGATGCCACCTAGAAAAAAAATCCAGGCCAACATTCTTGGGTGTTACAGCGTCAGTATTGAGCAAACCACCAAGGCTGGCGCACGCAGCACGAGCTCACAGCACCGCTGTTCAGCTTGTGATCACAGCATCGCCTACAAATACCATAATATAAATGATACTGCTATTATTTAGCAGTGATAGTATTACTGAAGCCCCCTGACTGTGATAAAACTGACCAGGATTCTGATAATAGCAGGATTGTGGTGATATTTAGCGCTGTGCTCCATGGAGGGAGGAGTAAGGCTGTGGGAGGGAGGGTTGTGGCGTCGTCTTCTGACTGTGTGTGGCCACCATTTATTGACTGCACTCACCATACCAGCTTAGTGGTTCGCCATGGTGAACACAAATGTAGATACTTATATATAACGTGTGTATAGTGTGAGGTAACAGTGAGAGGAGTAGGTTGGGAGCCGCCATTTTGGTGAGGGAGGAGTGTCGTCTGCACGACTTGGCATGGTGTTTACTGATGGCCACTATGGTCTTTGGGCACCATACCAGCTTATTTGTTCAGGTATAGTGAATAAAACGGGTAGATACTTATATATAATGTGTGTATATAGCGTAATAGCACCACAAACAATATTGTTGAAGGACAAATATTAGTGCGTCTGGCCATGAGGGCGGCCACCGATCAGCTGACTGTGTGAGTAGCTACGTCTTATGGCCTTCACTCACCATACAAGCTTAGATGTACAGTTATGGTGAACAAAACATGTAAATACGTATATATAACGTCTGTGTATAGTGAATAAATACAAAAGAGTATTGTGGGTGGTGAATGAGGGTGAGTGAGGTGGTGTTGAGGGAGGGAGTGGCAGTGAGTGGCTCGCTGGTGTTTGGTGTTTCACTCCTCGTTGCTTTTTGACTCACAAGACCAACTTAGTAGTTCGTTATGGTGTACAAAACATGCAAATACTAATATATAACCTGTGTACATAGTGTAACAACAGCAAAACTATTTGTTTATTGTTTTATGAACATAATAATTGAATCACTAATATGCACACCATAATTTTGAGTACAGCGATGGTTCACACATTTTATAATATAAATATACCACAATTCACTGTATGGAATAATATTACTGCAAAAAACTTAGAAAAAATCAATCAGAGACATTGAAATAATTAGGTAATAATATATTTGCGGCAACTGCCGTCTGACAGCTCGGGCGGAGTAGACCTCGTCTGGCGAAGGCTCTGCCAACGCCCGTTTTTTGCCACACTTCCCTACCCTATTGCGGCTAAAATATGCCACCTACGATTTTTTTGTTATTTTTTCCGTGATCAGGGAACAAAAATGAACACTTCTATAAGACGAAAAAAAATTTTTTGAATTTTTTTTTTGTTGCGCCTGTGGGTGTGAATTCCATTTGGGCCCCTAGCGGTTTGAGGGTTAAGGACACATTGGTACTTCCCTATTCTTCTAGGGTTCAGGGATTGATTTGATTTTGTGGTGGGGTGACTAGCTGACCGCTTCAGTTTTCTTCCTTTTGGGCTGAATCTGGCACCGTGCGTTTTCACGTGCTGGACTCGGGTCGTGGTGGCCGATCTTTGTCTGCTAGGTCTTGGCCTACCTCAACGACTGGTTGGTGTGGGCTCCCAGCCACACTGCCTGTTTTCTCTTTCCCTGCTTGCCAGGTTCGCGTTCCTGGTGTACTGGAGGAAGTCCCAATTGGTTCCGTCCCAGCTTCAGATCTGCTGGGCCCTGATTGGGATTCTTGAATGGCATCCCTTTCTCCCTCCCGCAGTCTTGCTCTGGCTGCAACTGAGGGGAACCTGGGTCACTCGGCGGTTGCTCGAGCAGCTATGAGGAAGCTTGAACTTTGTTCTTTTCGTTTATCCGCGGCACAGGGTTTAGCTTCAGAGGCTGTTCTGGTATATTCTGGCAAGTTTCTTTAGCCGCTCAATCTGGGTTTGTCCATGGGTGTCCTTGCGCCGGTTGCTGCATTGCCGGCTTCCTTTTCGGGGTTTTCAGGGTTCAGTGCCATGGTGTCTTCCTTATAACAATATTAACAATTGATTGGGAAGTTTTCATGCTTGTAAACTGTTTAATAAGTGTAACCAAAGCCGTCAGGGATTGGGAAAAGATGTACTGGTTCGTAAGTGCTTGGGTAGTTGCTTCGTGAATCTGGCCCCAGGTTCGTAAGTGCTTGTGTAACTGCTTCATGAATCTGGCCCCTGGAACGTGGCGCTTTTCGGCTATGGGTAACCCAGCTCGTCCTCCAAACAAAGACCTAAAAGTGATTCCATGCACCCGCCAAACCCCCTGTTTATGAATGAAAAACGGTTTACACACGACTCAACTGATGACGTTCGAACAATTCTGGAACAAGTGCTTCACTGACGAATTTTGTTTGAACCACAACGCTGTAAAGGCTTCACCCAAGTACTACAAACACAAATAATTGCCAACAGAACCTAAACACCTGTTTAGGCGATTTTTTCTGCTTTCCCTTTCCAACGATGAATAGCGAAGACTGGTTCCTGATGAATGGTGATGAACAGTGAAGGTGATTGGTGGATAGCAAGGTTGGATACGATTCATCACTGTCAGAGTCGCTTGATGATATCTGTGGACACTAGGTGGTTCTAGGTGGTTCTGTGGTCCACCTAGGTTCTAGGTGGCCATCCCCCCTTTACCCCCCTCCCCATCACAGTGACTGACACCCATCGCATTTCCACCCCTTTCCCCCTGTCCCTTTCACAGTCAGGGATCACCCCTCCCTCCCCAACGAACCACTCTTCATCATCACTATCCAATTCCAAGCCCATTTGCCGGCTCAGAGTAACAATTTCCTCAACAATAGGCACATCATTTACAGGCTCAAACCCCTCAAAGTCTAATTCTATCACACATTCAGGCCACAATTTTCTCCAGCCAGATATCAGGGTTCTTTGAGTCACTTTTTGCCAGATTTTGTCAACGAGTTTTAAAGCACTACAAATGTTAAAATGGTGTTTCCAGAACTCTTTGAGGGTGAGGTTTGTGGCTTCAGTCACTTCAAAACATTTCCAGAAAAGTACCCTTTCATAAAGTTTCTTAAAATTCGCTATGATTTTCTGGTCCATAGGCTGAATTAGAGGAGTGGTGTTAGGAGGAAGGAACTTTACTGTGAAAAAATTACTGTATCTGTGCAACAATTCATCTTCCAAGCCTGGAGGATGAGCAGGAGCATTGTCGAGGAGAAGCAGGGCCATGAGTGGCAAATGTTTCTCCTGCAGATATTTTTCTATGGCAGGGGCACACCACTGCATTCATCCACCCCAAAAAATTACTACAATGCATAAATGAATTAGGAGGCTTACTATTTTCAACATACATTATGTATGGTAAACTTCATTTGTGTTTATAGCCATGTAAATTATTGCATTGTGAACATTAGTGCATTCTAAGTACAGTATGGTTGATGCATTTTGAATTATGGTTGAACTTGTAATCTTCCAGTGCAGCATAAAAATTATGGACACATTTCTTACATTTGCAGGTGTTGGGAAGAGTTCTCTACTTCTAAGGTTTGCAGACAACACGTTTACGGGCAACTACATAACGACGATTGGCGTAGACTTCAAGATCCGCACACTAGAGGTAGATGGGGAGAGAGTAAAATTACAAATCTGGGACACCGCAGGACAAGAACGCTTCAGAACCATCACTTCCACGTATGTTTTTTGACAGCAGCTTGGTGCAGCTCTTTGATACCTAATATGCAGCTACATATCCAGCCTTTGATTTTATTCTTAATTTAGAGGTTGAAGAGGCATTCATAGTAGGCTCGACTAGACTCTACAGTGCTTAACTGTTATTGACTATGACTACCGGGGGTAATGAGATCTGCTTTCTCTATGCCCCTCCTCCTAGCTGTTCATACTGGGTGTGCTAATTACCCTTCTTGACATTAAAGTTTTCATCATATTTCATTTTTAAGTTGTGGATGGAATTAGCTTCAACAACCTCTTCCTTTAATTAATGGAATCTACTTGCCTACCACCCACTAAGGAAATGAGAACTTCCTTACATCTCTTCAACTCAATTGCATGGCCTGTTTCCACCAATGTTTCCTTGTTCTACCACTTTTTAATTTAAATAGGCTTCCTTTAGCCACTTTATTCCCCCTCAGGATCTTGTATGCAGTCATCATAACTCCCTGTGTTTCTTCTCTCTTTTAATGCTGTGAGACTGAATTCTTTCAACCTGTCCTTATAGCTGAGGCTTCTCAATTCTGGTACTAATATGGTGGCACACTTCTGAACTTCAACTCCTTGTGCTTCACAAGGTGTGGGTTCCATGTTGATGCTGCATACTTAGGGAGCCGGTCGGCTGAGCGGACAGCACACTGGACTTGTGATCCTGTGGTCCCAGGTTCGATCCCGGGCGCTGGTGAGAAACAATGGGCAGAGTTTCTTTCACCCTATGCCCCTGTTACCTAGCAGTAAAATAGGTACCTGGGTGTTAGTCAGCTGTCACGGGCTGCTTCCTGGGGGTGGAGGCCTGGTCGAGGACCGGGCCGCGGGGACACTAAAGCCCCGAAATCATCTCAAGATAACCTCAAGATAACTTAAGTAATGGTCCCACACTGACAGTGTGTATAGACTGGAAAGTCTCCTTGTGTCATTCTTAAATTAATGAAATGTCATTCTTAAGAATGTCATTCTTAAATGACATTCTTGTGTTTGCTAACTTCCATATACTGTACCTGAATTGTACCTGAAGGGGGGTTCTGAGAGTTCAACTCTCCAAGCCCTTCCCAGGGCCAGGCTTGACTTCTGAGATCTTGGTCCAACAGGAGTCTAACCCTAAAACCGCTAGGGGTCCAAATGGCTTTAACACCCACAGGCGCAACAACAACAAAAAAATTCAAAAAAATTCTTTCGTCTTATAAAAGTGTTCATTTTTGTTCCCTGATTATGGAAAAAATGACAAAAAAATCGTAGGTGGCATATTTTAGCTGCAATAGGGTAGGAAAGTCTGGCAAAAAAGGGGCGTTGACAGCCTTCGCCAGACGAGGTCTACTCCGCTCGAGCTGTCAGGCGGCAGTTGCCACAAATATATTATTACATAATTATTTCAATGTCTCTGATTTTTTCTTAGTTTTTTGCAGTAATATTATTCAATACAGTGAATTGTGATATACAGTATTTATATAATAAAATGTGTGAACCATCGCTGTACTCAAAAGTATGGTGTGCATATTAGTGATTCAATTATTATGTTCAGTAAACAATAAACAAATAGTTTTGCTGTTATTACACTATATACACAGGTTATATATAAGTTTCTGCATGTTTTGCTCACCATAACGAACCACTAAGTTGGTATTGTGAGTCAAAATGCAATGAGGAGTGACCGGCAAACACCAGCCAGCCACTCGCTGCCACTCCCTCCCTCAACAACACCTCACTCGCCCTCATTCTCCTCCCACAATACTGTTTCTGCATTTATTCACTATACACAGATGTTGTATTTAAGTATTTACATGTTTTGTTCACCATAACTGTATATCTAAGCTTGTATGGTGAGTAAAGGCACAAAGACATAGCTACTCACAAAGTCAGCTGGTGGCGGCCGCCCTCAAGGTCAAACGCACTAATATTTCTCCTCCAACAATACTGTTTGTGGTGTTATTATGCTATATACACATATTATATATAAGTATCTACCTGTGTTATTCACCATACCTGTACAAATAAGCTGGTATGGTGGCCAAAGACCATAGTGGCCACCAGTAAACAACATAATAAGTTGTGCAGACGACACACCTCCCTCACCAAAATGGGGGCTCCGAACCTACTCCTATTGCTGTTATTACACACTATACACACGATATATATAAGTATCTACATTTGTGTTCACCATAGCAAACCACTAAGCTGGTATGGTGAGTGCAGTCAATAAAAGGTGGCCACCCACAGTCAGAAGACGACGCCATCACCCTCCCTCCCACAGCATTACTCCTCCCTCCATGGAGCACAGCGCTAAATATCACCACAATCCTGCTATTATCAGAATTCTGGTCAGTTTCAACATTCAGGGGTCTTCTGTAATACTATTATTGCTAAATAATAGCATGAACATATATATTATGGCATTTGTAGGCGATGCTGTGGTCACAAGCTGAACAGCGGTGCTGTGAGCTCGTGCTGCGTGTGTCAGCCTTGGTGGCTCGCTCAATACTGAAGCTCTCACACCCAAGAATGTTGGCCTGGATTTTTTTGTTAGGTGACATCTGGCAACTATTGGTCGTGGCTGCAATATAGCTGCCCCTATCCCAGGCGGGGCATTTAAATTATAGCGCTAGACACGAAATCATATTTATATGATATGCGCGGTTTCGGTTTTGTCACTGAAAGCATATATATATGATTTGTGTGGTTTAAGGGTTAAAGTGGCCCGCAGGCCCACATACTGTATCAACTACAGCATGATTGGTCTGCCACTTCTTGTAGAAAAGTGTCCAGTTTTTCATGAAGACGTTCATTTTTTCTACAGCAATATTTCTTATACTGGCTGGGAGGATATTGAACAACAGTGGGCCTCTGATGTTTGTACAGTGTTGTCTGTGCCTATGGCACCTCTACTCCTCACTTGCTCTATTCTGCATTTCCTTCCACATTGTTCACTCTAGTATGGTACAGGTATTTTACTATGCAAATTTTGGATTGGAGATCTCAAATTTGCCCTCCAGTATTTTGCATGTACAGTACTGTATATATTACTTGTTACCTTTCTCATCTCCTTTCTAGAGAGTACATTTCGAGATCTTTGATAGGATCCCAATAGTTTAGGTACTTTATCGTCTCTGTGTGCTGTATGTTCTCTGTATTTCCCCCTATTTCAGTAATCTCCTGCCCTGAAGGAGCAAGTGAGTATCAAGCAGTACTCAAGGCAGAATAGCACAAGTGATTTGAATATTAGGGGCACTGTGATGAGATCCTTGGATTTTAATTAACACTTTCATGCTCCCGGCAGTTGGGCATAAAACTTTCCCCCATGTGCTCCCGGCGTTTCTAGCGATCGAGCGGCGACATTGAAAAGTGTAGACTCTTTTTCAGTGTTTGACCTTAATTTTTGATGTACATGTTTCATTTTGGTATCAATGTGTTTGCAATAGAATGTTCTAGAGGAACATATGTATAAAATGTCACTAAAGCAGGCGTGAGACCGGCACCAAATTAAAAACAAGGTCACTCGTTAGCCTTGAGCTCCAAACAGCGATGAAATGTTTTTTACTCTTTTCAAGTTTGTCACCTCCACACTTGTCGTACATCGTTCATTTTGGTATCACTGTGATCGCAATAAAATTCCGTAGGCGGACATATGCATATAAAGTCCAAATCATGGGCGCGCCCTACTTGCAATAAAGTGGGAAGTCGCCGAAGAGTTACCCGTTACCGCATGCCCAACGGCACATCGGCTACACTCCTACTGAAAAATGTATACTCTTTTCAGTGTTCTGACCTTAATTTGCGATGTACGTTTTTCATCTTGGTATCAATGTGTGTGCCATAGAATGTTCTAGAGGAACATATATATATAAAATGTCACTTAACACTATTTCTCTCTTTGGACACCGCTCGCATCCACTGTTTTTCTCTAGAGTCCTAGCCTTGGACTGCCCTCGCGTCCAATACAAAAATACTTGTATAAAATGCATTTTTTATCAGATCGACTTCAGGATAGTTTCAAAATGAGCGTCTTTAGAGTGTGCACAATTTGATACCAAAATGAAAGATGTAACACGAAACTTGATGTCAGAACACCTGAAAGATTATAAATACGTTTTTGGTCAAACTTTAACATTTTAAAATATTTGTTATAATTCTTTTTATTGTGCTATTATTATGGGACTAGTTTTAAAATGTGTGCCTTTAGATTACAAACAATTTGATACCAAAATGAAAGATGAAACACGAAAATTTATGTCAGAACACTGGAAAGATATAAATAATTTTGTGATGACAAGCGTCCAAAATTAAAATATTTGTTAAAATTCCAGTTATTGCTCTATTATTATGAGACTAGTTTTAAAATACGCGCCTTTATATTGCGAAAAAATTGATACCAAAACGAGCGACGTAACACGAAAATTGATGTTATCACACTCGTTAGGTATACACATTAGGTTGTGGTGTGCAAATTGGTGCTCGTTCACGGGTAACTTTAGGCTTTGCTGCTGGGAGTCTCGCCAGGCTTTTGGACATTATATGCATATACACCTGCAGGGAATTTAATTGCGAACACAATGATACCAAAACAAACTATGTATCACGAGAATTAAGGTGAGAAAACTGAAACGAGTATACACATTTTACTGATTTTGTGCACTCGCAGGTAACTTTTGCCAACTTTAGGCTTTGCTGTGGGAAGTCACGCCGGGCTTTTGGACATTATATGCATATACACCTGTAGGCAATTCTAATGTGAACACAATACCAAAACGAACGACATAGCACGATAATTAAAGTGAGAAAACTGAACCGAGTACTGTATACACATTTAGGTGTTGCTGCAAGCTCGACCACACGCTCTCCCTCACCGCCGGGCCCATGACGTCAAAGTCTGTGGCGCTCACGCGCTGGGCGTGATAGTGTTAAAGCGGCGTGAGACAAGCACCAAATGAAAAACAAGGTCGCTCGTTAGCCGTGCGCGCCAAACAGTGCGG